ATGGAGATGGAGAAGGAGGGGGGGAGTGCGAAGTTATGGAGGGGGAGCTGGGGAGAGTGGGACAGAGCGGAGGGTAGGGAAGAGGGGTAGTAGAGGGCATATTTGGATTGAGTGCAGAGATTGATCATCAATAACCTTTTTACAGAGCTCTCATTGGATTTTTCTGTGTAGTAATAATAACAGCATATTTGTTGTTCCTGCCTAGTTTGTTGAGCAGTTTTTGGAACGCTACAACGACCTGACCCTGGATGACCTGGAGAACCTGGTGAGCAGCCAACCAGAGGAGCCCTCCTCGGCTTTCACTTCCGGGGTTAAAGTCTCTGAGTACCCCAAATGGGCTGACATACCAGCACAGGGCGACAGCACCTGGCTCCGCCTCCTGAAGGGGACCCTGGCCAATCAGAAAAGAGCTGTGACGGACCGGTCGAGGAGGGGGTGGAACCGAGGATGCTTCGGACTCAAACTGGACAGGATCGGGTCAATGAGTGGACTGGGCTGCTAGTGGAGAGAGAGAGAGGAAGAGACTGACGTCCCTCAGGGGATATGAGGACACACACACACAGTAGGCTGCTACATGGCACACAGTCATTTACACACATGTAGTGAAAACAAGGATGTTAATGTAAGTACAAAGGATGTCTACATGTAGTGTAACTGTAGTGTACTTGCTGTATTGCTAATGTGGTTCCATCGAGCTTAGTGAAAGTTACTCTGTATGTCTCCTGGCTGTTGGAAGGGGTTAGCTGTACTTATATTGTACATGTATTCATTTGAATCTTGAAAGTATCAGAGTTATGTTTACATCAAGCTGTTATTCTATTTTAAGTCTTTGAGTGTTGTTTTGACAGTAAACCTGCACTTTATTTAAAACGAAGTATTTAAAAGTTTTGTCTTTCTTTTCTAATATTGTCCTTGTTAATCCTGCAGGAATAGTTGTGTTATGGCATGTTTTAATGGAAATAAATATTTGAAAAAATATAATAATATAATATAATTCTAATAAAATGTTTATTCTCTCTGCTATTGATTTTACATACATTTGGCATGAATAAATGTACACTGAAACCATGTTGTATTGAGTGTTGTGTTCTATTTAAGTCCTGACATCTTCCAGTGTCAGATTCATCTTCAAATCCTCTACTCCTTCATTTGTTAATTTCACATTGGCATGCGACATCTACATATTCATGCATTTCCATTCAATTTGAAGGTTCAATTTCTCACAGTAGATATTTATACCTCTGTTTCCATGGTTGTTTTTATTAAATCTGCCACAGGCAGCTGAGAGAGAGAGAAGGTACATTTCTTCCTCAGAGCTAAATGAAATGCCTGCATCACATGGTGGGCTTGTGTGGGCAGACCAATTAGGGCTTGGATCTACACTAATCAACCTACCACTGATGCTTCCAAACTGATTTTACTATGTAGTTAGTATCTCACTTATAGAAGGGAGTTAACTCTTGTCTATATAACAAGTACTGCCAAAACAGAACATAATCTTTTCTCTTGAAACACAGTTCTCCTTTGTCAGCTGGGTTGGGGAAAGATGGCATTTCACCAGGGTCAACATAGTGACTTAGGGGTTGGGAGTTGGATACTGAGAGTCTCTAGAGAGTCAGTAGGGTGTTCATCACAGAAGAGGTTAACTCAGGTTAAAAGACTGGATGCAGTCCCTAAAGTAAACCACAAGAGGTCAGTCTGAAATAGTCTATTATGTTGCCAGGTCCAAACCGAAGTGCAATCCAGACTCCAGACTTAGTACTGGACTCTGCTAATGGACATTATGAGACTGATGATAATTTAGCAGCATATGAAACCAGGTGTAGGCCTTTCTGATGCATGTTTTACCAGAGGTGTACCAGCTGTCAAATCTAAAGACATTTTCAGATACCTCAAGTTAGTTGGAGCATAGACAGTGCTGGCAACTCCAGGGTTGTAGGATTGCTGTATTAAAGTAGTAAAAAGTGAAGTATTTGGTCCCATATTCATAGCATGTAATGATTACATCAAGCTCGTGAGTCTACACATTTGTTGGATGCATTTGCTGTTTGTTTTGGTTGTGTTTCCGATTATTTTGTGCCCAATAGAAATTAATGATAAATAATGTATTGTGTCATTTTGGAGTCACTTTTATTGTAAATAAGAATATAATATGTTTCTAAACACTTCTATATGAATGTGGATGCTACCATGATTACGGATAATCCTGAATGAATAGTGAATAATGATGAGTGAGAACGTTACAGACACACAATTATCTTGTTACTACTTTAATACACATATAAGTGAATTTGTCCCATTACTTTTGTCCCAAAGCACTACACAAATATAAATGCATGAACTGAACATAACTAACCAACTCAACAGTGAATTATCAGACACAAATGAAACCTTTTCTTACAGAAATATGTAGGCCTACATGAAAAACCTCAAGGGAGAAGTTGGCCTTTATATTAGCCTACCATGGACTATAATATGACCTATGATGACTGTGTGATCATGTGGTGTGATATGAGGTAGGGTCAAATACAGTACACAGTATCACCAGTATATACCATCCACCAAGGAGTAGACCGTCTGCTTCTATTTATAGAACAACCTTTACTTCACCTCTCTGACCTTAAGCTGTGCAGCGGAGGCCAAGAGCAGTGCGTGTTCACATCGGGTCGTGGTAGTTCAACTATGCCCAGGTCATTGGCTCGTCACCACCCTAAATCACAAGACCTGTGACAAAGATATTAGCGCAGGGTGGTATGACTGCCATTGTGCTGTTGAACATGTTGTTCAGTATGATAAATGTATGCTCTGGATAAGAGCGTCTGCTAAATGACTAAAATGTAAAATGTTGTGTCGTACTATGTAGGAGAACATGTTACGCTAGTTCTGTGTTATTTCCTTCACTGTGATATTTAGGTACAGGTTGTTGTGTGCTTTGCTTATAGAGGCATATGGGCCAAATGCCTAAGGGTTCAGACTCTACTAATTCGTAGTTTTATATTCCTATTGACGTAATGGGTCATTTATGAGCATAATAAATGATTAAAAAACAGTTTACATTTTTCAGTAATATTAATGACATGGGGTGTTTACATCTGTCCTATTTCACACATGTACAAGTGTGTTTTATACACGTGTGAATTAGATCATCGTTTTTTTTTGTTGGACAACCCTCGGAGAGTGAGGTCACGACCAGGGATCAGCCATTATTGACGGCGACCATGGAGCAATTAGAGTTAAGTGCCTTACTCAAGGCCACATCAACTGATTTTTCACCTAGTCGACATGGGGATTCAAACCAGCCACCTTTCAGTTACTGGTTTTAACTGGTGCCACTGAGTCTAAAGTAGCCTCATTGAAACTTGGAAATCATCGGTGTGATGACAAATAACAGGATCAGTAGTAGAGGATCAAAAAGCATTCGTAAATGTACTTACTAGGAGTTGTGGAGATAATGATGTGAGAGCAAGTTTTTGCAAGTGGGGGCAAACACATCTTTAGGAGGAGGAGGAAAAAACAACACTGAGATGGTCAGAGACACAGACATCAATAGTTTCCAAGTGATCAATATTCAGACCATAGGACAGCACGAGATCAACAGTATGGCCTTGGTTGTGTGTAGGCCCTGTGGCATGTAGCACAAAGTTAAAGGATTCTAACGGGTTAAAAACTCCCTAGCTAGTGCATTATTTGGGCAACACACATGAATGTTTAGATCTCCAAGAATAACCCTGACATAACCAAAGACAGCAGGTCAGAGAATTCTGCAATGAACAAACTATTAGGTTTAGGTTTAGGGTTAGGAGGGTGGTACACTAGAATATACAAGGTGGGCTGTTTCTTGTTAAAGCAAAAGATAAGGCTCTCAAATTAGGACATTCGCCACATGACACAGGGATACATATATACTTGTCCCTACAACGGCCAGACAGCCTGGATTTCTGTACATAAGAAAAGGCTAGAGGGGTAGTTTCATTTAAAGAACTAAAATCCTTGGGTGTTCTTGTTCAGAATGTTCTTTTGAGACACCAAGTGAACAAAACCAGATCCATGGACCCAGTCTTGTGTTAAAACCAGACTTGCCATTCGGTTACTCTGACATAGATAGAACTCAACTCCTTAGACACAGAAGTCACTTGAGTAGACAGACAAAAACACACCCACACAAGTTATTTCTATGGGAACTGTGTCTAGGCCTAAGGCATGCAAACGCGCACAATGTGATGTGTTCAGACTCTATTGACTGACCAGGGCATGGCCATAGGTCCACACAGCTCTCCTCACACCCCAGGCAGGAGAAGGAGAGGAGAGAGAGAGAGAGGTTGAAAGTGAAGGGTCATGGTCTTTTGACTGTAAATGTCACACTGTGGAGGAAAGTGATTTGATCCGCCGTTTGCTCTCTCTGTCTGGCTCTCCCTATCTAGTGAGAAGGTCACACAGGAATGGACCCTCTACTTTTTAATTTCGCCATCTAAGGACTTATTATATCTGTATAGTGTCTCCTCATCTGTTCCTATGCTTCAGATGTAAAGTTATGGGAAGGTTTAAAAAAGTTATTTAAAAAAACATTCACTGTTAATGAAATCTATAGTTTGAATGTGGCGGCCTTGAGTGAAAAAAGAGGACCATATATTCAGACAGATACAGAGAGTCTGATGAACTTCCTTGAGAGCAAAATAAATCAAAGGGAAAGCACTTAAATCAATATTCAGGCCTACACTATTCACTATCACCCACGAAATCAATGCTACTTTAGGCCAGCTTTAGTTTAAATATCAGGCAAGGGGGTGAACACAGCAAGACCCATTTGAATAATTATGTATTTCAATTAATGTTTTCATACTATTGCTAATGCAGCTTTACTGTTAGGCTACATAAGCGACATTTGTAATACGCTGACCCGTCACAACTTCCTTATGACCTTGACATTCTGAAAGGGGCGGGGTTTAGAGCCCGTAGCACACAAAGGGGCGTGTCCATACAGGGTGGAAATAAATAGGAAGCCCAGCTCTGCCTGTCCCCACTCACACCCAAAAGTCGTAAGACAGGATTGAGGCATCTCACAAACGGTAAATGACCAAGCAACGGCTACATTAGGATATCTAACTAAATTAATGGATGCGGATAATATGGGCCTAGATAGCAAGAAGATTAGGGAGATTGTCCGTTTTTGGCTTGACGACCTAGCGATTGTTTGGTTTATTCTAAGACTTGTTGCATGTATGGCCATTTATTTCGTTTCATAGGTGTTGAGATGCAGTTAGAATTACTTGATATCTATAGCTTTTTCTTTCTTCCAGAAGAGGATATTGAAACCTCTTGTTAAAGTGACTTCAATCTGCCATGATTGAACTCTGAATCCCTGACTCAAAGTTGAATTAGACTTTCAAAGTTCATAACTGTTGCTTACAACATGTTGGTGCAATTTGCTTGAATAGACTATCACACATTTACTCCAGTTTAAAACATTTTGCTGTGCTTCAAAATGCATTCTCTCTCTCTCTCTCTCTCTCTCTCTCTCTCTCTCTCTCTCTCTCTCTCTCTCTCTTATGCTATGCTATGTTCTCTATGCCTCTGCTTATCTTAAAGCTATAACTAAGTTGCAAAGTTCTATGCCATAAAGTATGGAAATCCCCAGAAATCATAACGGATGGTCAATATTTGTTTAATAGCTAATGTATCTCTTTCTCCCTCCCCCCTGCAGAGGACTAGACCAACTCAGGCAAAATGGTGAAAGTAGGTGTCAATGGGTAAGATACATTTTCATTTAACCCCTTAACTAACACAACAAAACCCACAATATAACAATTTATCACCACCACACAGACACGGTGTTAGAATCTCCTACTCTCGCTTTGACCTAATGCAGAGCTTAAGCATTAAAACCAGACATCTATTTGAAATGGCAATCTGGCTAATATATAAATTAATAATAACTAAAATATAGGAATTATTACAATCAAGATTTCAGTACATCATTCCTTACTAATGGATGTACCCTGGTAACCTCACACAGGGAGTACTGATCCCCCTTTGAAAGGACCCGCCCTCTGTTTGCAAGATACACAAGTTGCATATGATACACAAGTCATCCCCGATGTAGTATTCAGACGAGCCCTGAGAGGAGCTTGGCTTTCATGACCCTCCTCTCTGTACCCTTCTCTCTTGCGCCAGTCTTTTTTTAGCCAGGCAACCTTTGGAGAGAAGGTCAGGGGTACAGTACAGTGTCTTGTTGACATTCTGAACCATCAGAACATTCAATGGCTATACATTTAATAGCTGTCTTACTCTGAAATAGCTCAGCAACTAAAGAGCAGGAACTGTGTAAAGACTTGTGTTTTGCAGAAGGCACACTCTGACTAGCAGAACACAGACACACACAAACCCAGGGACAGTCTCTTGTTGTTCTCAGTGATGTTTTGTGCTTTTCACTAGTAGGCAAGTGATCACCTTGTGCTTAGAGTTGAATAGAACATCTTTATTGTCCAGTCTACAAACAGTTGAAAATGTGTATTTGGCCTCACTCATCACATCTGTAAGGGGATCTGCATCTCCACCTCTCCTCTCCTCCTCCTCCCCTCCACCTCTCTGAGGACAGTGTGTATCAGAGCCTGTCTGTCTGTGAACCTGATTAGCTAGTTAAAAAGTAACTCTCTACTAATCAAACAGGTGGAGGATTACCACATGAGGGGTAGACAGTTAGACTTTACACCCCAGAGAGTACAGCCTCAGTCCGGTTCCCTCTGCTGGCTACGATACACACCTCCCTCTACCCCTCCCCTGAACCCTGTCCTCTTTCTCTGGAAATACATTCTTTTGAGGTCACCTAGTCGCCACATGTTCCTTTGAGATTTATTTGAAAGCTCTTTATATCCGGTCATTAGTCTTTTGCTTCAGGTGCTACACAACAGTCAGATGTTGTAGAACAGAAATGTGTCAGTTCAGTTGTATACATGACATTTCTATCTGCAACCTTTGAAACATGGCTCCCTACTGAGCAAGGCTCCTGCTGTTACATTAAAATACAGGTACACAGACAGGAGAGAAATATGGGGGACTACCACAAACTAGTGGCCTGACTTTGGAGTTAACATTGCATACAAGTATCTTCATTTGTTTTTCAATAGCGAGAGGTTTATGAAATTCCATGGTATTGATCAGGACTGGGTGTGACATCAAGGATTAATGGAATGAATCGTCTTGTCCCCCAGATTCGGCCGTATCGGGCGTCTGGTGACCCGTGCTGCATTCCACTCCAAGAAGGGAGTTGAGATTGTGGCCATCAACGACCCCTTTATCGACCTGGACTACATGGTGAGTAGCCTAAAGCCTACAATGGACCAGGGACTTCTAGCCCACTCAATCAGTAGAAAAACTCACACCCCTAATTATTATTGATTCCTAACATGCATAAAGAAGTAAGGCTTAGATAGTGAAATATTTAGCTTATGTATATATTAGTTATTCACCCTAACTTATTAAGTTTCAATAAGTTAGACCTTTGAATGTTGCTGTCACCATGAAGCCCTCAATGAACAAACCAAGGCCTCTAACCAAGACCCTGTCATAACTTAGGATCAATTAACAATAGGCCAAGAGACTCACCTCCTCCTTTCCCTCTTCAGGTCTACATGTTCAAGTATGACTCCACCCACGGACGTTTCCACGGTGAGGTCAAGGCTGAGGATGGCAAGCTGGTCATCGACGGACACAAAATCACTGTGTTCCACGAGTGAGTTCATTAATTTAGTAAAAAATAAAACAAATAATTCACATTTATTTCCACATCTAAAGAAATTCATAAAATCAGGTCAGCATCAGTAGAATATGCAGGAGATAGCTAAATTCCCTTGTGGCCTTATGGAATTGCGCCCCCTTGTGGAATCTAAAACAACATCAGTGATAGTCTAGTAATCTATGGTGCTCTGCTTCCTCATAACGTAACCCTGAACACACTCTCTCTCTCTCTCTCTCTCTCTCTCTCTCTCTCTCAGGAGAGACCCAGCTAACATCAAGTGGGGAGATGCTGGTGCCACCTATGTGGTTGAGTCGACAGGTGTTTTCACCACCATTGAGAAGGCCTCCGTAAGTATCCACACCAGTCGACCGAGCATCCACAACTGTATGATATAGGAATAGCATTAGAACAGAAATAACTACTTACTTTATAACATTACTTTACCCATCTGGCTTAACCTGCATTTGGTGCACAATGTTGAATACATACAATGACTAGGCCACAAGATATTTGAAATAAGGGACTCCTCTAACATCTTTCCCCCCTCCTCCTCCTCCTACAGACCCATCTGAAGGGCGGTGCTAAGAGGGTTGTCATCTCCGCTCCCAGCGCTGATGCACCCATGTTCGTCATGGGCGTCAACCACGAGAAGTACGAGAACTCCCTCAAGGTTGTCAGGTGAGACCCTCTTCCCTCCGACTCAACACACACTCCCTCCACTTAACAGATACTGTATGCAGCACCCTGGCTATTCTGTTGTGGTTCAGACTATAATTTAACACCTCTCTCTCCACAGCAATGCTTCATGCACAACCAACTGCCTGGCTCCCCTGGCCAAGGTCATCCACGACAACTACCACATCATTGAGGGTCTGATGGTACGGATTAAAACAACACCGGGGAACAATCACCTAGAGAGGGCTTAACAGATTTCACACGGAACACTAACAGTACAGTACAGGGGATGGACTGTTTTTTAAGATCACCAACACACCGTCTCTGTTTTTCTTATCCAGTCCTCCCCTACTACCACCACTTCTGTACCCCCTTAATATGGATCACTCCTCCTCTCTCATCTCCCTTTCCCCTAATACCTCTCTCTCACTCCCTCAGAGCACCGTTCACGCCGTCACCGCCACCCAGAAAACCGTTGATGGTCCCTCTGGAAAGCTGTGGAGGGATGGACGTGGCGCCAGCCAGAACATCATCCCTGCCTCCACCGGAGCAGCCAAGGCTGTCGGCAAGGTCATCCCCGATCTGAACGGGTCAGTACCACAACCTCTAAATAACCAATAACAACCAGTAAAACAAGACACTCAATTATAATATCACAAGTTCACAACCTCCAACTAACGCCAGTAAAACACTATTACAATACAGCTGTACATTCACTTGTAACACAACCTCTATCTAGACACCAGTAAAACACTATTACAATACATTCACTTGTAACACTAGTATCACAACTTCCTACTAACCACCAGTAACACATTTATAACACTAGTAGCCAGCCACTACTACACAGTTTTCAGTCAACAGTCAAATGTATAGCAATGAAACACAGACATTTGTCTAAGAACCAGTCACTTATTATGTCTGTATATCAAACTATAGAGGAGTAAGTTGAACTTTGACCTTGCACTTCTGTCACCCGCTCTTCTTCCTCACAGCAAGATCACTGGCATGGCCTTCCGTGTCCCCACCCCCAACGTCTCAGTGGTTGACCTGACCGTCCGTCTGGAGAAGGCTGTGAGTAGCCCCACCCCCGCCTTACCAATCTGCCAATACACATCATGTCTGAGTGTCTCTATAGTGTACCTTACCTGCTGATACAAGCAGAAAGATAACACTGTCCTAGGACCAGTTGTTAGACACAAAGTGACCACCTAGTTAAATAAAGATAGCAGTAAAGCCCATTGTTGAGTAGACAAGACAATACATTCATTGATACATGGTTAGTTAGCATTGGAAATTTAGCAACAATTTGACAACCCACCTCTTGTGTCCTTGAACCACAGGCCAGCTACGAAGACATCAAGAAGGTTGTCAAGGCTGCCGCCGATGGACCCATGAAGGGAATTCTTGGATACACAGAGCACCAGGTTGTGTCTTCAGACTTCAACGGCGACACCCGCTCCTCCATCTTTGATGCCGGCGCTGGCATTGCTCTGAACGACCACTTCGTCAAGCTGGTTACATGGTATGCATTTATCCTCTCCAAATATACACATGCACACACATATATATATATATACACACACATTCTTGGTGAGTGATGAAGAATCCTGACAGTCTCTCTCCTCTCCCCAGGTATGACAATGAGTTTGGCTACAGCAACCGCGTCATTGACCTGATGGCTCACATGGCCACCAAGGAGTAAAGCAACCAACCAGACGCTACCGCACTATGTCATGTGACCCACATATTCCCCATTTGATTGGACTATCGCTCTTAACTTGCCTGAGAAAGTTACCCGCATAAAAAAAAAAACTAACAATCACAACTATATATCTATATTTTTTTGTATTGTAAAGACCCTGTTCTGGTCTTGTGAAAGGTGAGATGGAATTTGGGTGTGAAGAGATTTTCTCTGTTTGTTGCACTGAACCTGCTTCATTCAGAAGCGGAATAAAAGTCCTTTGTTTGTGAGTAAATATGGCATCTTCTGTTGTTTTTCACTTGATGGGATAAAAGGATCATTATTTAGTATTGACATGATGATAATGGGAAAGGACAAACCCATAAATAATTCCTTCGTTATTTTTATCAAGCTAAGGAACCTGAAGTGATAGATCACTCATACACAATGGAAACACTATACAACTCAAATAGTAAACCAACCCAAACACAATTATTCCTGACCCTGGATACATAGGAGTAGTTTAGGTACAGTATCTATACAATGAGGTTGATCTGTAAACTACAATATATATTTATCTGAATGCTCTTACTCTCTGGTGCTTGCATACAGTGAGGGAAAAAAGTATTTGATCCCATGCTGATTTTGTAAGTTTGCCCACTGACAAAGACATGATCAGTCTATAATTTTAATGGTAGGTTTATTTGAACAGTGAGCGACAGAATAACAACAAAAAAATCCAGAAAGACGCATGTCAAAAATGTTATAAATTGATTCGCATTTTAATGAGGGAAATAAGTATTTGACCCCTCTGCAAAACATGACTTAGTATTTGGTGGCAAAACCCTTGTTGGCAATCACAGAGGTCAGACGTTTCTTGTAGTTGGCCACAGTGGCGGCTCCTGAAAAAATTCTCAGGAGGGGCAATTTTTCTGATGATTTAGGTGACCTACACACATTTTTAAAAAGATATGTCCAGCAACAACATGAAGACAGGGGCAGCATATAAGTCAATACCAGAAGCATTTATTGACTGATCTCAAAAGTGTTGGCTTACAAAAGCAAAATAAGTTATCACAGTAAAAATAATCAAGGGTGTTCTTTCACATTCCTCAACACTGCATAAACAATATGTATGGCTTTGTAAAAATGAACAACCATATTCTGGCCAATTGTATAGATTTGTAAATATGAACAACCATATTCTGGCCAATTGTATAGATTTGTAAAAATGAACATGAACAGATTTTTAATTTTTTTGAATGGCAGTACCTTTCAAACATGTCTGCTTGCAGTAAGGTAGCACTCACAAGGTGGCCAGAGAAAGAGAACCTTTCTTTGGTGTGATCCAGGATGGTGTTGCAGACCTCTTCAGACAGCCTCTGCTTCTCCTCTTCTCTCAAAGCTGTTCTGGGTCTTTTGGCTCCTGTTGCTTCTTGCAGCTGCTGTTGAGAGGAGTCCCTGAAGGCAAACAGACCAATGTGTTTGTTGGCTTTGTACAGTATTGTTGTCTATGTGATGCACAGGTATATGCAATGTATCCATGTATAGTACAAATACTTCAGTTCCACTTAAAATGGGCAGGGATGCATAAAGTCTTTAGTGTTTAAGTTAGCCTTTGTGTCTCACATAGCCTGGATGTTCAGCACAGTATACAGTGGTGCTCATAAGCTTATGATCCCATGCTAAAGTTGACTAAAAAGAGGAATAAAAAAGAAAAGAAAATTGGTGTCCTTAAAGGTTGGATTTTCCAACTTTTTTAATTAAGTCATTAAGATCAATTTCCAAAAGATGATTTTTTTATTTTTTTATTCCTCTTTTTAGTCAGCTTTAGAATGTGTTCATACACTTATGAGCACCACTGTACAGTACACATAGTATATAAAATAAGATAGATTACACCACTGGCCATATATAATGACAATAATGTAATTTCAAACACAAATGCAGTCTCCTTTCATGCATACATTTTCAAATAAAGCTCTGCTTTGAGAAAGATCGAATGATATTGTTTAATCTTTATCTTACCTTATGGCCTGCACACTGCTTGCGAAGCTGTCGAGGGCACGTTTGATAAAGACAGCATCGATGTCCTTATTCTGTAGCTTCTGGTACGGTGGGCTGGTCAAATGAACCCAATGAACCCGTCCGGATGGCTTCAAAACATTCTATGAGGTCGTCTCGATTCTCGTAGACAGTGTTCACGACTCTGCTGTTGCTAACCTCATCGTTGTGGCGGCGGACAGCTAGCCTGTATCCCTCATCCAGTTGAGTGGCAATATTCACTCTCACCAAAGCAGACAATCTCAAACAGCTATCAATGTGGGTCTTTGACAGCTCATTTTTCTTAATCTTTTCTGAAAGATGGTGCATGTCGGTTACACCAGTCGCTGTCCAAGCGTTGCTGTCTGCCGTTCATGGTTACGTTACGTTACGTATGACGAAAGCGCGTAAGTGCAAGCCCTCAGACACCCATAGAGAATGTATTGAAAGCTCAGAAATTTGAAAAAAAAATATTTTACATTAGAGGCTATGAGAGACTTCTGGGCGATTTTCAACCTGACTGAAATCGCCCCAAAACGGGCGGGGACATTTGAAGCACGACTTTAGCCTGATTGGACATTTAGTGGCTGGCAGATCAGACGTGAACACTGAACTACTGTTGCCATGATATAATTGATTAGAAAAAAAATCCCTTCCTTCTCCCGTTTGGCAGTGCGTCGCCCATATCGCCCTATTGAACACACCGCCCATGGTTGGCCACCAGGTTTGCACATATCTCAGGAGGGATTTTGTCCCACTCTTTGCAGATCTTCTCCAAGTCATTAAGGTTTCGAGGCTGACGTTTGGCAACTCGAACCTTCAGCTCCCTCCACAGATTTCCTATGGCATTAAGGTCTGGAGACTGGCTAGGCCACTCCAGGACCTTAATGTGCTTCTTCTTGAGCCACTCCTTTGTTGCCTTGGCTGTGTGTTTTGGGTCATTGTCATGCTGGAATACCCATCCACGACCCATTTTCAATGCCCTGGCTGAGGGAAGGAGGTTCTCACCCAAGATTTGATGGTACATGGCCCCGTCCATTGTCCCTTTGATGCGGTGGAGTTGTCCTGTCCCCTTAGCAGAAAAACACCCCCAAAGCAAAATGTTTCCACCTCCATGTTTGACGGTGGGGATGGTGTTCTTGGGGTCATAGGCAGCATTCCTCCTCCTCCAAACACGGCGAGTTGAGTTGATGCCAAAGAGCTCGATTTTGGTCTCATCTGACCACAACACTTTCACCCAGTTCTCCTCTGAAACATTCAGATGTTCATTGGCAAACTTCAGACGGGCCTGTAAATGTGATTTCTTGAGCAGGGGGACCTTGCGTGCGCTGCAGGATTTCAGTCCTTCACGGCGTAGTGTGTTACCAATTGTTTTCTTGGTGACTATGGTCCCAGCTGCCTTGAGATCATTGACAAGATCCTCCCGTGTAATTCTGGGCTGATTGCTCACCGTTCTCATGATCATTGCAACTCCACGAGGTGAGATCTTGCATGGAGCCCCAGGCCGAGGGAGATTGACAGTACTTTTGTGTTTCTTCCATTTGCGAATAATCACACACACTGTTGTCACCTTCTCACCAAGCTGCTTGGCGATGGTCTTGTAGCCCATTCCAGCCTTGTTTAGGTCTACAATCTTGTCCCTGACATCCTTGGAGAGCTCTTTGGTCTTGGCCATGGTGGAGAGTTTGGAATCTGATTGATTGATTGCTTCTGTGGACAGGTGTCTTTTATACAGGTAACAAACTGAGATTAGGAGCACTCCCTTTAAGAGTGTGCTCCTAATCTCAGCTCGTTACCTGTATAAAAGACACCTGGGAGCCAGAAATCTTTCTGATTGAGAGGGGGTCAAATACTTATTTCCCTCATTAAAATGCAAATCAATTTATAACATTTTTGAAATGCGTTTTTCTGGATTTTTGTTGTTGTTATTATGTCTCTCACTGTTCAAATAAACCTACCATTAAAATTATAGACTGATCATTTCTTTGTCAGTGGGCAAATGTACAAAATCAGCAGGGGATCAAATACTTTTTTCCCTCACTGTATATCTGACCAGTTTATTCCTGTATGAATCCATGCATTTGACAGATCATAACTATGATTTCAAACACAACCCAGACACTTTCATTTCAATTATATGATCGCGTCACTTCCTCTGCCAGTTCTCACTTCTCAAATCAAAATAAAGTTTATTGGTCGCGTACACAAATTTGCAGATGTTATTGCAGGTGCAGCAAAATGCTTGTTTCTAGCTCCAACAGTGCAGTAATATCTAGCAATACAAAACAATACACACAGGATCCAAAAAGTACAAATAAATCAATTTATTTTGTCCCATCACTTTCTGCAGACTTTCCAAACCATCAGTCTTAAATTCTCTTATTTTTCTCTTTCTCCCCCCTTCCTGAGTTGAATCATTATTTCTCTCTATATTCCCCCCTTCCTCGGTTCAGTTCAATACCTGCTCCATTTGTTAAGCCAAGGCTGTTGTGGCATGACTAACTAGAGTTGACAGTGGCTGACCATTATGATTACGCAATTGGCCTTCATAAAATATTCCCAATCGATGGTATTGACAAGGGAATCAAAAGGGTAGAGTGAAGAGAGGTAAGCCAACTCTACTGGGCTTTACAGTTCTGACTCGCTCACAGACAAGCAACCACTAGGGTTTTCACAGCATAGTGGTCCTATGGTGGCTGCAGGAGGCTTAATTAACAGCGTGATTGCAGAAGACTTGACAGTATGTGTGTATGTAGGGAGGTTCTCACACTTTCACTGGACTTCACTATAGTTGACTTCTTAGTGCTTACAGTGGACAGAAGGGCTTAGAGAATACTGGGTTTCCATCATACTAATTGATAATCATAAGTCATAATTAGATCATCAAACATTCAACCCACATGAGTTCTTCAGATTGAACACTAAGATGTGAGTCAACAGGAGAGAAGGGATAACAACATGTTGAAGGCTGAACACCTGCTACACTCCAAGGCATCCTCTGGTCGTAAAGCTGAGCCTCTAAAACAGACAGTTTAACATAACCTTTCAAGTTAGACGTGTGTGTGCGTTAGGTGAGTGTGTGCACGCACTCAGGGTCAGGTCAAGTCGGACTTGTGTGTGTGTGTAGGTTTAAGCCCCATAATAAGAGCAGGATTGAAGATCGGGTTAATGTAGTTGTTCAGTTTTCAGCCAGTAGGCTATGTATTTATTTCAATATCCCTGTGTCTAATATCTCTCACGTCATGCTCTGACATGGCAGTCAGTTAGAGAAGGCTTAATCTCCTGTAGTCAGATCATCATCCATCCATCATTTTACTGAACGACAAGACGTGTGTCTCCAGGGTGTTATTGCTCTCATTGTTAGACACACACACACACACACACACACACACACACACACACACACACACACACACACAAACACAAACACACACATACACACAAACAAATTAAGAGTCAGTTACACGTGTGCTCTTGTTACTATATCACAAGTGGTGATATTTCTTCTTCTACGGTATTCAATTTAAACAATGGATAGAGAGATAAAGAGTGATAGATGTACACAGAGAGAAAGAGGGCGAGAGCATGGAAGAGAGAAAGACTGGTGAGAATAAGGGATGGGGGAGAGAGAGGGGGGGGGTGAGAGAGGGAGAGAGAGAGAGGGGGGGGTGAGAGAGGGAGGTCAAAAAGGCTAATGTCCTTCCATTTATTTTCCATCTCTGTGCCATTTCGGACCACGCACTGATCATTTCTCCGCCAGATTGTCGACAGCAAGTTGATTTACTCTTCTCAGAAATAGAGCACAAAAATTGACAGAGGCTTAAGATTTTTTTTTAAAGAGCTTAACTCACAACACAGACAGACTGAACAAAAGAGTGAGATACGAAGTAAAAAAGAGAGGAAGGTGAGTACGGATGCTCCTCTTGGTGTGTGTGTGTCACCTGTTTGATTTCTCATTAAATGTGTGTGTGTGTGTGATCTCATTTCAGCTTTGAACTGAATAGTGAGTTTGATTATGTGATAATAGTTTTTTGTGTTTCAATTGGCTGTCTTTCTTTTTCTCTTCCTGCATTTCCAATTTTCCACTTGTGCACTTCTTACTTTCACACATTCCTTTCCTTTTAAATCCATGAAGGGAAGTCTCACTTTCCTCTCCGTCAGTGCACCATTGGAAGTTTAATCCTTTCTCACTGTCTCTGCTCCCTGTCATTTGAGAGACACTGGCTGTAAGACTCACCTCCTCTCCCCTCTCCCCCTCTCCCTCTCCCCCTCTCTCCCCTCTCCCTCTCTCTCTCCTCTCCCCTCTCCCCCTCTCCTCTCCTCTCCTCTCCCTCCTCTCCTCTCCTCTCCTCTCCTCTCCTCTCCTCTCCTCTCCTCTCCTCTCCTCTCCTCTCCTCTCCTCTCCTCTCTCTCCTCTCTCTCCTCTCTCCCTTCCTCTCTCTCCCTCTCCTTCCTCATCTGTCTCTCCTCTTCTTCTCTCTCCTCTCCCTCATATCCGCGTTGTTAATCTAAGGGAATTTTAACATCTCACTCTCACTCTGTTTTTCTGTGCATGTCTAGGGGGTTAAAACCTCTTACCTTCCACTTTCTAGCATGTTCTCTCTCAGTACGTTACTCTACATCCTCTCTCTTTTTTACCTCTCGTGTCTACTGTGCCTTTCGTAATCCTCTCTACCTCTCTCTTCTCTCTCTCTCTCTCTCTCTCTTCTCTCTCTCTCCTCGTCTCTCTCTCTCTCTTCCTCTCGTCTCTCCTCTCTCTCTCCTCCTCTCTCTCTCTCATCTCTCTCTCTCTCTCTCTCTCTCTCTCTCTCTCTCTCTCTCTCTCTCTCTCTCTCTCTCTCTTATTTTCTCCACCAGTTGATGTCTCTGGGAGTGAATGGCTCGTGGAGGGGCTCTGTCCCATCCTCCATCCCTCCTGCCTTCCTTTCTCACCTCTCCCCCAGCACTGACCTGGGAGTCACCATCTTCCTCATCCTCACAGGTGAGTCAAATCTACCTTCTGCCTATAACACATTCACCCCTAGCCACTATACCCCTATACCCTCTAACCACTGATAGAGATTTGAAAGGATTGGATTTTACAGTATGTGTACTATAAGCAATATGGTGACAAATCCTCAAAGCCTAGAGGGCAAGTTTGAGAAATTGCCATATTACATCAAATAATTTGTGTCTAGAGACTTGGGTGTAGAGGCTCAGGGTTGTGGATTGATTTGGAATTAGGCATCTCTCCTCATCACAGATGAGTGATTCAATGTTGGTGTCAGTTAGCATCAGAGTTTGGTTGGTATTCCTCCTGAGTAACTCACTGGTAAAATAATCAGAACATAATATGTACAGTGTAGAAGTATTAGGCTTGGCTTGAGGTATATCTATGGGGGTGAAATTCTGTTCAGATAAATCAAGACTTAAAAACAACATCAACAAAATCTAATTTGATCCCAGAGGACTGAAAGGTTTTCATATATAAGCTGGACAACAGCTTTTCACATCTTAATCATCGGAATACAGAGCCCACACAGATGGCTGAATGGGTTTACTTTGTTTCAACACAGGTCTGTCATCCATCAGGATCAACCTTTCTGATCAAGTCAGTCAGTGATCTAACTCCCTGTGACTGTTTCCATTATGGAGCTGTGTAGGCAGACTGAATACAACAGTAATTAGCATAGCAACCCCAGGGTCACACCAGAGAAGAGAGGATACACAGAGAGAAGAGAGGACAGAGGACAGAGGAGAGATGAAAGGAGAGAAGATACATAGAGAGAGGAGAGAGGAGAGGAGAGAGGAGAGGAGAGAGGAGAGTGGAGAGGAGAGAGGAGAGGATACACATGAGGAATCACAGCGTGGAACATTCCATACCTGTTGCTCCCAATAATAACCTACACAACAAATCAAATCAGGCTATAAACAGCACCCCGCACCCCACTGGCCAGCCAGCCAGCAAGCAACCATGTCGATTCAGCTATAGCATGATTCCGACTTTGGATTGGTTCCCCGATGCTTTCAAAGCCGGATAGCGGGTTGAGGGGTCAGGAAGGTAGCAGCGGTTGAAATATTAAATGAATGACGGTGTACTGACCCTTGTTATACCTCAGAGCGTACAGTGAGCTGGTCCACATGCCAATAATGCTGAAACAATCTTTTCAGTCTGTGTTTAATGACTACCCACTGTGATAATACTTCTGTGCCATAAGAAAGTATAGCATATAGCATACTAAAGCTATCTCTCTCTCCCTCCTCCTCTCCCCTGTTTCTGCCACATCTATCCATCTCTCTCTTTATCACTCTGTTGTCTCTTCTTTCTCTGTTTTCTCTCTTCCCCTTCATCCTCAACTCTATCTCTATACTTCCATCTTTCTCTCTCTCCCCGTCGCTTCAAACCTCTTTTATCTCCCCGCTCTTCTCTTCCTTCTCTCCTCTCCTCCCTCCTTCTCCAGGTGTAGTATCAGTGGTTGGGAATGGCATAGTGCTGTTGGTTTACTGTAGAAAGAAGAAGAAACTCAGACCACCAGAACTCATGACTATCAACCTGGCCATCTGTGATTTTGGATACAGCATCTTGGGGGCGCCATTCCCCATAATTTCCAGGTGAGCAAGCCATATCGACCAATCTTCAATCCCCCTTACTGATAGTATGAATATCAAATTAGAGAGAATGATATGGTGCAGATGTCTTTTATCCTAAATAACTTACAGTTAACACTCACATACCATGAATCAGACAAAGTGCTTAGTGTTCCAACGACCAATGATCATTATCAGGGTCATAAACCCCTCCTCTGGTCCCCCAGTGTGTCCCATGGCTGGATGTTTGGGGAAGCAGGGTGCCTGTGGTACGGGTTTCAGGGCTTTGTTTTTGGGATCGGCTCCCTCATCACCACCTGTCTCATCTCTCTGGACCGCTGCCTCAAGATCTGTAACTTCAGATACGGTCAGCGGGATTCCCTTCATTTCTTTTTCAATGTTTTTTTGAGTCATGTTTGTATGTGCATACTTATTCTATATATATATATATCAGAGCATCATATATATATATTTTTTTTTTACATACTTTCCCTTGGATAAAGTGTTGTTGAATCCAAAAAACAGTTAGCTTACCTAGGCTACTTCATCCTTATTTGATATTTTTCCAAACATTTCATAACATGAAAGACATGTCTAATATTCAATTGAGAGAACAAAAGGGGTGACACAACAGGATGGGTTGACCCCTGACCCCTTTTAGTGGCCTCATTGACTTTCTGTTTTCCCTGAGGCTTTAGTCAGTGGGTCAGAGCATCAACAAGGCTCTTGCTTTGAATATGCCCTTTATACTGAGCACCTCAGATATTGATTTTGAACAGAATATTGAACAGAACCTCTGCATTCAATGATCTAATCTAAACGTACACTATATATACAAAAGTATGTGGACACCCTTCAAATGATTGGATTCGGCTATTTCAGCCACACGGTTGCTGACAGGTGTATAAAATTGAGCACACAGCCATGCAATCTCCATAGACAAACATTGGCAGTAGAATGGCCTTACTGAAGAGCTCAGTGACTTTCAACGTGGCACCGTCATAGGATGCCACCTTTCCAGCAAGTCAGTTTGTCAAATTTCTGCCCTGCTAGAGCTGCCCAGGTCAACTGTAAATGCTGTTATTGTGAAGTGGAAATGTTTAGGAGCAACAACGGCTCAGGCGTGAAGTGGTAGGCCACACAAGCTCACAGAACAGGACCGCCGAGTGCTGAAGCGCGTAGCGTGTAAAAATCTTCTGTCCTCGGTTGCAACACTCACTACTGAGTTCCAAACTGCCTCTGGAAGCAATCTCAGCACAAGAACTGTTCGTCGGGAGCTTCATGAAATGGGTTTCCATGGCCAAGCAGCTGCTCACAAGCGTAAGATCACCATGCGCAATGCCAAGCATCAGCTGGAGTGGTTTAAAGCTTGCCGTCATTGGACTCTGGAGCAGTGGAAATGCATTCTCTGGAGTCATGAATCACGCTTCACAATCTGACAGTCCGACGGACTAATCTGGGTTTGGTACCTGCCCGAATGCATAGTGCCAACTGTAAAGTTTGGTGGAGGAGGAATAATGGTCTAGGGCTGTTTTTCATGGTTCAGGCTAGGCCCCTTAGTTCCAGTGAAGGGAAATCTTAACGCTACAGCATTCAATGACATTCTAGACGATTCTGTGCTTCCAACTTTGTGGCAACAGTTTGGGGAAGGACCTTTCCTGTTTCAGCATGGCAACGCCCTCAGTGCACAAAGCGAGGTCCACATAGAAATGGTTTGTCGAGATCGGTGTGGAAGAACTTGACTGGCCTGCACATAGCCCTGACCTCAACCCCATCGAACACCTTTGGAATGAATTGGAATGCCGACTGTGAGCCAGGCCTAATCGCCCAACATCAGTGCCCGACCTCACTAATGCTCTTGTGGCTGAATGGAAGCAAGTCCCCGCAGCAATGTTCCAACATCTAGTGGAAAGCCTTCCCAGAAGAATGGAGGCTGTTATAGAAGCAAAGGGAGGACCAACTGCATATTAATGCCCCAGATTTTGGAATGATATGATCGACGAGCAGGTGTCCACATACGTTTTGTCATGTAGTGTAATTTATAATTTGTTTGCCTATATGTGCGACTCTTTCTTGAAGCCCAGGTTGTAGAGATAATTGGGGTCACTATTGTAAGAGCAGCTTTTGTCCTTTTTGAGTGGTCCAGACTCCAGCTTGATATTGTTGCTCTCTTGACCTGGAGATTACTTTTCGGTTACATAGACACTTCCAATTACCTGATTGCTTAGGTAACACCGGGACAAACTTAGAATAATTCTAAGGGGGAGGCAGCAATGATGTTATGGCAATGCTGGTTAGGGGTAATCATGCAGGTAGCTATAGGAAGGGGAAGGAAGGGGAGGGCTAGTTGTCAGGCAGGGTTCATGTCTGGGCTACCAACATGCAACACTACATAAAGAAATTGAAAACAGTAAATATCACACACAACCATTTAAACTACTAGCAACCATTTGCAGGGGCTCACTTGCAAAAGATGCCTTGGTCTCAATGAGACTCCCTGCTGAAATAAAGGTAAAATAAATGTATTCATTACACGCTTCATACATCTGGAGCATTTGAATCAATCCTATTTCTTATTTACTAATTGGTGGTCAATCAAACAAAGTGCTTCACTTTATTCATATATTCATATCCCTTTACTATGTGTCTATTTATAATATAGTACATGCTGGACAATCAGGTGTCTCTCAAAAAATAGATCTTACCCAATGAGAAGAAATAATGGTGAAATAAAAGAATAACATTCCTCCATCTCTCTCTACCAGGTCAGTGGATAGAGAGACATCACTTGTCCAAGTCCATAGGGCTGGTGTGGTTCTACACTCTGTTCTGGGCCTCCCTGCCTGTCTTCGGCTTCGGCAGCTACGGACCAGAACCCTTTGGGACCAGCTGCACCATCAACTGGTACTCCTTACTCTCTCTTATGACTCTGTTTTGATGTGTGTGTGTGTGTGTGTGTGTGTGTGTGTGTGTGTGTGTGTGTGTGTGTGTGTGTGTGTGTGTGTGTGTGCGTGCATGCGCACATGTGTGTGAATGTATGCAGTTATAAAAGCATTAATGTCATCCACCAGTAGCAATTGAGCCTGGGTACGAGGTTATAAAAGTTTTCTCTCTGAATATACATCTTCTTCTTCCGCTTTTCTTTGAGGTGGGGGATAAGGTCATCTCTGAGCGACAGGGTCTACATCTTCCTGATCCTGATCATGTGCTTTGTTCTCCCCACACTGACCATCGTCACCTCCTACATGGCTATTCTGCTGACGGTGAGGGAAACTGCACCCAGCTGGCACAAAATGGCTGATTCAGTAGGGGAGAGTCCAGGGAACACAACTCAGACTCTATCCAAAACAGCATGCCATGTAACTCATTGATTTAATGGAATCAATTGGCCTGGCATCTTCTGAGTGGGACACACTATAACGTATGGAATGCATGCTGAATACAGTCCAGCAAGCATGATATATTACCGTGATGGTGGATTCAATAGCTGTAGTTGACTGGTGGTCTAGCTAGCATGGCCCTTGTGTATTTGTTTGTGGTCAGTGACGGTTGAAGTTTGTGTTTACTGACATTCTCTCTGTGTAGGTTTACCGTTCTAGTCGCGCTCTGGCATCTATTCCCTCCTCAACTGTCACTCACACCAGCAAAGACCTGAGACTCACAAAGGTATGTGGAAAACAGACTATGTTAGAAGAAGCTTAGTTACTGGCTTGAAACGGAAGATGTCATAACATCTGCTTTATTCCAGGCAGAGTAACTACTAGGGAATTACCTTTGTATTAACATTGTAATAAGTATGTAAGTACAGACAGCACAGTAAACATATCTGTTGTTTAATCTATTGTCTGTCCGTCCCAGATAGCAGCTGTGGTGTGCTCCACTTTCCTCTTATCCTGGACTCCCTATGCCATCGTCTCCCTCTACTCTGCCCTGGCCCCCAAGGAGGAGCAGGGGTCCGGGGAGGCCATGCAGGGAGGAAGCCCCTCCATGGGGACTGGAGGATCCACCGGGATGGGCTCAGCCTTCCCAAACATCCCTAACATCATGGGTCTCCTCAATTGGACCTCCACGGAAAACTACGGAAGCAACTACGGAAGTGTCTACTACGACCCTGGAGAATCCTTGCGGGACGTGACCAACCCAGATCCCTACTCCTATTCTGGCTCAGGCCTCAGTCTGTCTGCTGCTTCCACCCGCAGTTCAGCCCCAGGCCAGGAGGGGGAGGCAGAGACAGGGAGCAACCAGCCGGTGTCCTGCCTGCCACCTATTGTGTCTCTGATCCCAGCAATGTTCGCCAAGTCTCACTGCATGATTAACCCCTTCATCTACCAGATCATGAACAAGGAGTTCAGAGAGGACGTGTACGACATACTGTTTGGGAGACAGAACGGGGAGAGGAGGAGAATGCGGGGAGGAGCAGTGAGCTACTCTGACAGTAAGGATTATTTTATAGCTACAGGTGTGGACTGGACAGGTGCAGAATGACCGATAACTCTCTCCCTCTCTCTCACGCTCTCTCATTCTCTCTCTCTCTCTCTCTCTCTCCTCTCTCTCTCTCTCTCTCTCTCTCTCTCTCTCTCTCTCTCTCTCTCTCTCTCTCTCTCTCTCTCTCTCTCTCTCTCTCTCTCCTCCTCTTTCTCTCCTCAGCACACAAAGGCAGCCTCTCCTACTGCCACAGCTGGCGACGGAGTCGCAACCCCAAGGCCATGCCCATGGTGGAGTTGGGGAAGAAAAAGAGGGATGGAGACACCATCTCGGTGGGGTGGGACGCCCTGGGCGTGGCCTCGCTGGACACACAGGTCAACATGGACGGGCAGAGACTGAGCGAGGGAGAGAGAGAGACAGAGAGAGAGCTGGGGGGTTCCACCTCTAGTAGTCTGTTGACCGAGTGATAGAGGGAGAGATGGATAAGAGAGAGGTTGAGAGGATGTTTAGGAGCAGAGACATAAAACATTGTATCATAGTGTTTTGAGCTGTCTCTTTTAAAATGTAGCCAAAACATTAGTATTATTATATAACCAACAAATATGATATGTAAAATATAAACTATGTTTTTATTTGTACATATTGTTTGTATATTTTACCTCTATATCTAAGCACCAACACAGATGTCTGCTGCAGTTTTGAAAATGGTATTCCATCTTTTTTAGTTAGTCTAGTTTGTAGTTTGTTTTAGTCTTTGTCAACACTGTGCTAATAGGCCTGTGGGTTATGGTTCACATTATAGTTTCACACAAAATAGAATAGTGTGTAAAATTGTATGTATTTTGTAACAAAATAAAATCGAGCCAAGTGGGAAAATATTGTTGCCTATGGTGTGACCATAAAAATAAAATAAAATTCACAAGTGTAAATGTTCCTGATAAAACTTCCCCAAGTTGTGAACTAGGAGTGTAAGAGGTCTTACGGAACTGTTCGTAGCCTAATGGGCACAGAAAAGGTTAACAGAAAACCAGCTACTTGGGTATTTACGGTAGCTTCCCTGCTCTCCAAATCCCGCAGCACTTGTGTCTTCTTGTGGTCGCGTTGGAGCCAGATAAGCGTTGACGGACGACACTGGATTTATTTTTAATACATGTATCGATTTGCAGCATTTAAAAGTACTTTCTTTCATATAGCCTGTATACCAAAACATTACTTTTCTTAAATACATTTGAGGAGTGTTGTCGCCTGCGCATAGCCGTCGGACTGGCCTATTCGCATTGTTTTTTTGGGCGACAGTTATCCAGCAACAGAGCGAGTCAGGAAGAGAGAGGGCCACTTATTCCACCAGCCTCTTTAGACCGACCGGAGATAAATCGAGGATAACATTCGTAATTAGAAACAGTTACGTAACCAGGTAAAAGTGGACAGTCACGGATACGTCTGGTATCCAACAACAAGTTAACCTTCAGCCTGTCATTATTTTATTTTGGTGATCTTATACCGAGAAAATTACCGTCCGTGTTCATGCCAGATCTGCAGCGCTTTAGTTTTCCATATCATAGCATGAATCCTTTGTTAGGGGCGAACTCACTTCTCCAACATCAACAGCAACAGAATCAAGGAGGACAGAGTCATCCTGATTCCCCCTCAGGCCTTCTGCCCGAAGCCGTCTTCGGCTCGCCCGACCCGACGTCTTTCTTCCTAGGCGACCATCCCGGACTGGGCACGGAGACTCTGCCAGGGTTCGATTTCACCACACCCTCACAAGCTTACCTGCATCTGAACCATAATAACCACTCTTATCATCGGTCTGTGCCCCAACCCCCTGCAGCGATGGCCCTGAGGAACGACCTGGGCTCCAATATCAGTGTCCTAAAGACTCTGAACTTACGGTTCCGATGCTTTCTGGCCAAAGTGCATGAACTGGAGCGAAGGAATAAGATTTTGGAGAAACAACTACAACAGGCGTTGGATGCGAAGAACAGCTGTGATGGAGGTTGTTCTGAAAGCGCTAGAAGGGCCCATACCCAAGAGATAGGTGTACAGACCGGGTTTGTGGGAACTATTCCGCTCAGGCCTGGGTCACTCCCGTTCCAAAACACCAACAACTCCGCAAGACGACCCACTACCCTCTTCACACCTCCCCTCAACACTGTCCTCACGCTTGAGTCCAACAACAAAGCTGAAACAAACCCCAGCGAACCGAATCAGAATCCGACCATCACAATAAGCCTATCAACCCCGACAATCAACTCTCCAGCTGGGTCCAATTCGATCACCAACGGGAAAACGGTTTTCAGTACTGGAACTGGAACCCCCACCAACCCGCCTCCCCGGTTCCTCCCCGGTACTATCTGGTCCTACAACCATACCCGCAAGCTCGGTTCTGGCGTGGAGACGCGCGTCACCAGCCCCGGTGTGTCCTGGGTCCAGCCGGATGGGGTCGGGGTCCAGATTGATACCATCACCCCGGAGATCAGAGCCCTGTACAACGTCCTGGCCAAAGTCAAGAGGGAGCGGGACGAGTACAAACGCAGGTAAATAGGATCAACCTGTTTGTTGATTTATTCACCAACGTAAGGCCTAATAAATGTGTGTGCCTGACGCGTGTAAAGGCGCACAGTGACCTAGAGTTGTGATTATACGTCTCTTGGCAAAAGTCAGTTGATGTAACTTAGTGAAACTATAATAGGCCTACATGTATCATTTTGCTCATGCTACATGGGTGGAGTGGAAGGCCCTATTACAACAGATGGCCTTTGAGAGCAGCTGTGTCCAACCTGTGTTCTGTCTATTTCTGCCACAGCCCACACCATTCTTATTGCTAGAGAGGCAGAGGGCCTTCAGTCAAACGGCAGCTGGGTGAAATACCAAACATTATCAGACCATAACTGACTCAGAATGAAGTCATCTAATTGAGATCCAACACAGGAAGGCTCTGTTTCAACAATCACACCAATGCTTTTGAAGTTCAAAGACCTTTGAACTCTTGAGTTTGCCACTAGCAAGTGGACTCCAGACCTAGGTCAAATATATATGAGGTATGCTTGATTTAGCTGTTTGTACTTTTGGGATTACTCCATTGATTTTGTACTTTTGGGACTATTCAATTGGAACCAGGCAAACTATATAAATCAAGCACAGCTCAAGTATTTGAAGATTTGATTTATGGTTTGGCTTGGGGAAGGAATATTTGCTTAGCGCCCATTTAGAAAAAAAGGGGAACGGGCCATGTCTTGCAAACACAGTCACAGGAATTCGTGCACCTCTGCAATTATGAAATGGCTGCAGTTTGTATTCTGTGACAGAACTAGGCCCCGGGCCGCTGATTTGTGGCGCTAGCAACAGCAGGGCTGTGGCTTCGATTCACGTTGTACAGGTCACATAGACATGGTCTATACTGAAGGTATGACCATATGTTGATTTGGATAAACATATTTCAGAGAAAATGCCATACCCAATGAATGTAAGGTGATAGACAAGCATGTGTGTCCCATTAGAAAGGATGGGTAGGGTCAGGGATTGGTTTGGGATCGGGAGGACCTGGGACAAGTGTGTGTTTGTGTCTGTTTTGTTTGTTTGTGACCTTACTGCCATCTCCAAGTGAATCAAGTCCAGGCTTGTCTCACCTTCAGACATCCATATATCTGATAGCATCCATAATGTACAGTCATTGATGTGATTTATATGGAGGACTAAAAGTGCCACAATTAAATAAATAAATACACCATTAAATAATTACTTAAATGTGTCATTAATTAATTAAAATTAGAATTAAATACATAAATGTGTTATTAAATGTGTCATTAATTAATTCAAATACCGATTCATTTTATGTAAAATACATATATAATAATTTCACTATTTACATTTACATTTCATGATCCTGCATTGCAGTGATTCATGAATTACTTAAAACTGTCAAACTGACCCATCAAAAGTTGGTAGGCGGAACCTAACGCCTGATTGGTTACCCTCTGCATCAAGCCAAGACAAATCAATTCCGGATAATGTCAGCAGGTCCTGCTTCTACATCCTCTGCTAAGTTTAAAATGTCTCTAACCAACTCCCTGGAAAGTTGACGGAGATCCTCCATTGTCTCTATCCAGGTTGGCCTACTCTACTTCAGACCAAAGCAATGGATCAGACTAGATTCGGCCTCCAGTGTAGTGAAATAATGTTATCGCTGTCATTGGGACCACCCATATGTAAAAATGTATGCAAACATGACTGTAAGTCGCTTTGGATAAAAGCGTCTGCTAAATGGCATATTATTAGTCTGTTGTTGTAGCAATGCAGTTAAATCTACCTGCAGGCAAAACGTAGAGAGAGGGAAACCCACTGGTGTATTCATTCACTTCAAAGAGGTAGTTTCAGTATAAGATCCACCCCCTTCCTTCCCTCTCCTCCACTCTTCTCCTCCACTTCTCTTCCCCTGCCCTGTCCCTTGTTCTCTCCATCTGTCCATTCATGTTGCTATTCATTGTTCCCTCTTTCTCATTGGATAGTTCTCTCATACCCCTCTTACTGTCTCCCTTCTTTCCCTGACCTGCTGTTTGGGATTATCACCTCTCTCTCTCTGTCTCTCTCTATATATGTCTCTCTCTGTCTCTCTCTGTCTCTCTCTCTGTCTCTCTCGCTGTCGCTCTCTCTCTCTGTCTCTCTCTCGCTGTCGCTCTCCGCTCGCTCGCTCGCTCTCTGAAATCAAATCAAATGAGGCTTCATTGGCATGGGAAACATGTTTACATTGCCAAAGCAAGTGAGATAAACAGTAAACAAAAGTGAGAAGAGACAATATCAACAAAAAACGATTAGAAATGAACAGTAAACATTGCACTCACAAAGGTTTGAAAAATATATACATTTTATTTCATGTGTTATACTGTATTATCAGCTATGTACAGTGTTGTATCAATGCGCAATTGGTTGTAGTACGAATAGTAGGGGAAGATAAATCAATGTTTGATTAGTTTTCAAATTCTTTGTGGGTCCGTGTGATCTGTGGGAAATATGTGTCTCTAATATGGTGATACCTTTGGCAGGAGGTTAGGAAGTTTAGCTCAGTTTCCACCTCATTTTGTGGGCAGTGTGCACATAGCCAGGTCTGCCTATGGCGGCCTCTGTCAATAGCAAGGCAATGCTCACTGAGTCTGTACATTTTGGGTCAGTCACAGTGGTCAGATATTCTGCCACTGTGTACTCTCTGTTTAGGGCCAGATAGCATTCCAATTTTCTCCGTTTTTTGGTTGATTCTTTCCAGTGTGTCAAATAGTTTTCTTTTTGCTTTCTCATAATTTGGTTGGGTCTAATTGTGTTTCTGTCCTGGGGCTCTGTGGGGTCAGTTTGTGTTTGTGAACAGAGACCCAGAAACAGCTGGCTGAGGTGACTCTTCTCTAGGTTAATCTCTCTGTAGGTGAGGGCTTTGTGGTGGAATGTGTGGGCATCGCTTCCTTTTAGGTGGTTGTAGAATTTAACAGGTATTTTCTGCATTTTGCTAACTAGCGGGTATAGTCATAATTCTGCTATGCATGCATTGTTTGGGGTTTTGCGTTGCACACAAAGTATATTTTTGCAGAATTCTGCGTGCAGTGTCTCAATTGGGTGTTTGTCCCATTTTTGAGAATTCTTGGTTGGTGAGTGGATCCCAGACCTCACAACCATAGAGAACAATGGGTTCTATTACTGATTGGGATGTTGAGTTTTATGTTCCTTTTGATGGGGTAGAAGGCCCATCTTGCTTTGTCTCTCAGATTGTTCACAGCCTTGTGGAAGTTACCTGTGGTGTTGATGTTTAGGCCGAGGTAGGTATAATTCGTTGTGTGCTCTAGGGCAACGGTGTCTAGATATCATTTTCTATTTGTTGTCATGGCTTCTGGACCGTTTTTGGAACACCATTATTTTTGTCTTACTGAGATTCACTTTCAGGGCCCAAGTCTGACAGAATCTGTGCAGAATATCTAGGTGCTGCTGTAGGCCCTCCTTGGTTGGGGACAGAAGCACCAGATCATCTGCAAACCGTAGACATTTGATTTCTGAGTCCAATAGGGTAAGGCCTGGTGCTGCAGGCTGTTCTAGTGTCCTGCCAAAAGCTGTTTTGAAATCAACAAAGCATGAGAAGACTTTACCTTTATTTTGGTTTGTTTGTCAGTAAGGGTGTGCAGGGTGTATACGTGGTCTGTCGTATGGTATTTTGGTAGAAAGCCAATTTGACATTTGCTCAGGACATTGTTTTCACTGAGGAAATGTTGGAGTCTGCAGTTGATGATGGTGCAGACGATATTTCAGAGATTGCTGTTGACGCAGATTCCACTGTCAAATTTGTCTCCACTTTTGTGGATTGGGGTGATCAGAGTTTAAGAATAGCCTATTTGAATTTGTGGTCTGTATATTAAATCATTTTGTTTAGTATACCATTAACACCACAGGCCTGTAGCTCATCCAATGTAATTTGATAATCTAAAGGTTCTGGTAGTCTTTAATAGCTGATTCTAAGTTTAGTAAATTATCATGTATATGTTTTTGCTCTTGGTTCTTTGTTAAATGGCTGAAAAGGTTGGAGAAGTGGTTTATCCATACATCTCCATTTTGGATAGATAGCTCTTCGTGTTGTTGTTTGTTTAGTGTGTTCCAATTTTCCCAAAAGTGATTTGATTCTATGCATTCTTCAATCACATTGAGCTGTTTTCTGAAATGCTGTTCCTTCTTTTTTTTTTTTTCTGTATTTCTGTATTGTTTTAGTGTTTCACCATAGTCAAGGTGTAAGCTAAGGTTTTCTAGGTCTCTGTGTTTTTGGTTGGATAGGTTTCTCAATTTCTTTCTTAGGTTTTTGCGTTCTTCATCAAACCATTTCTCATTGTTGTTAGTTTTCTTAGGTATTCTGCTTGAATTTAAATTTGATATGTTAGCTGATATACTGTTCTGTTCTGTTCTGGCTTCTTATTGCTAAGTTTACACCTGGGACTCCTGAGTGGCGCAGTGGTCTAAGGCACTGCATCGCAGTGCTAACTGTGCCACTAGAGATCCTGGTTCGAATCCAGGCTCTGTCACAGCCGGCCGTGACCAGGAGACTCATGGGCGGCGCACAATTGGCCCAGCGTCGACCAGGGTAGGGGAGGGAATGGCCGGCAGGGATGTAGCTCAGTTGATAGAGCATGGGGGGCCAGTATAAAAAAATATGTATTCACTAACTGTAAGTCGCTCTGGATAAGAGCGTCTGCTAAATGACTAAAATGTAAATGTAAAATGTTCACTATTGCAGGGAAACATTTTGTCCAGGAAGTTGTCTAGGAGTGCAACTCCACGAGGCTCCATGCAAGATCTCACCTCGTGGAGTTGCAATGATCATGAGAACGGTGAGGAATCAGCCCAGAACTACACGGGATGATCTTGTCAATGATCTCAAGGCAACTGGGACCATAGTCACCAAGAAAACAATTGGAAACACTTCACTACGCCGTGAAGGACTGAAATCCTGCAGCGCCCGCAAGTTCCCCCTGCTCAAGAAAGCACATATACAGGGCCGTCTGAAGTTTGCCAATGAACATCTGAATGATTCAGAGGAGAACTGGGTGAAAGTGTTGTGGTCAGATGAGACCAAAATCGAACTCTTTGGGATCAACTCAACTCGCCGTGTTTGGAGGAGGAGGAATGCTGCCTATGACCCCAAGAACACCATCCCCACCGTCAAACATGGAGGTGGAAACATTATGCTTTGGGGGTGTTTTTCTGCTAAGGGGACAGGACAACTTCACCGCATCAAAGGGACGATGGACGGGGCCATGTACCGTCAAATATTGGGTGAGAACCTCCTTCCCTCAGCCAGGGCATTGAAAATGGGTCGTGGATGGGTATTCCAGCATGACAATGACCCAAAACACACGACCAAGGTAACAAAGGAGTGGCTCAAGAAGAAGTGCATTAAGGTCCTGGAGTGGCCTAGCCAGTCTCCAGACCTTAATCCCATAGAAAATCTGTGGAGGGAGCTGAAGGTTTGAGTTGCCAAACGTCAGCCTCGAAACCTTAATGACTTGGAGAAGATCTGCAAAGAGGAGTGGGACAAAATCCCTCCTGAGATGTGTGCAAACCTGGTGGCCAACTACAAGAAACGTCTGACCTCTGTGACTGCCAACAAGGGTTTTGCCACCAAGTACTAAGTCATGTTTTGCAGAGGGGTCAAATACTTATTTCCCTCATTAAAATGCAAATCAATTTATAACTTTCTTGACATGCGTTTTTCTGGATTTTTTTGTTGTTATTCTGTCTCTCACTGTTCAAATAAACCTACCATTACAATTATAGACTGATCATGTCTTTGTCAGTGGGCAAACGTACAAACTCAGCAGGGGATCAAATACTTTTTTCCCTCACTGTAGGTGTTTGTCTCCCTGTCTGCTAAGAGTGTCGGGTTCTTGTCCACTTCTGGTATTTAGGTCGCCACAGACTAGTACATGTCCCTGGGCCTGGAAATGGTTGATCTCCCCCTTTAGGATGGAGAAGGTGTCATCATTAATGTATGGGGATTCTAGTGGGGAGATATAGGTACCACACAGGAGGACAATTTTCTCTGTTGAGATAATTTCCCTATTTATTTCCAACCAGATGTGAAATGTTCCTGTTTTAATTAATTGAATAGTGTGGTTTAGGTTATGTCTGATCTATACCAAATCAGCACTCACTTTCACTCTTGCTCTCTCTCGCTCTCCACTGCCAGCTCCACTCTACTCTCCTCTCCTCAGCCCCCCTCCCCCACCTCCTCTCTTTCTCCCTCTCCCCTCTCTCTCTCTCCCCAACTGCATGCGGCCATGCGGCTTCCCCTCCACCTAGTATCTGCAATGCAGTATACTCTGCAAGGTAGGCAGTAATTGCTGGAAAAGGGAGGTGGCTTCCAAAGAGAGCTCAGCTCATCTTTCCCTTCCCTCTCTCCCTCTCCCTCACTCCCTCTCTCCCTCTCCCTCACTCCCTCTCCCTCTCTCCCTCTCCCTCACTCGCTCTCTCCCTCTCCCTCACTCCCTCTCTCCCTGTCCCTCACTCTCACCTTACCCATCTATCTCAATCACAACAGTGTGCACAATGGCACAAAAACGTCTCTCTGTACACTATATAACCTCTATTCGTTTTAAGAGCAGTTTGGTAAAGGCTCCGACATGTCGCAGTATTGTGCATTTTAAGCAGCAATTATATAAGTGGCAGTGCTGTGCAGTGGGGTCTGTGTGGTGTGTTGAGTCACTGAATCAGCCATCATAGTTGTAACATGTCAACTGTACAGGCTTTTAATGAGATTACTGTTCACTAGATTGATGGTGCTGTCTGACCAGGGGTTTCAGACATAGACACACACACACACACACACACACACACACACACAGTTAATAGTTATTATTATGATGTCGCCATTTCACTCTGTCATATACTTCACATGTATTTTTGTTGTGTAGGTGGGAGGAGGAGTACACTGTCAGAGTGGACATGCAGCAGAAGATGGAAGACCTACAGGAGGTAACACTGCCTCTGTGTGTGTGTGTGTGTGCCTGGCCTCTCTTATTGATTGATACATAGGAGGTAAATGTATCCCCCTCTTTCTGTTACACCTATTCTCTGTTGATTGGCAGGGACAAGAACAAAGCCATGTCAGCATATCAAACATGACAACAAGACATTACATTGAAATGTTTAGGTGCTCAATGCTTGTAGACACAAAGGCCCACCTCACTGATCTATACACTAACTTAGGGCGTGGGGCCAGAAGCGCAGTGTTGTCTGACGCTGTGTCTGAGGTTCTGGCAGTGTTGACACATTTGACATTGCCCTGATGCATGCGAAACAATCTAATTCAATTGCTTGTGTGAAACAGCTCAATTTAATTGTGCGCAAACCACTAACCTAATATAATATGTTTATAAACAGCTAACATAATAGTACTGTAGGCTATGTAAATGCCTAACCTACTAGTTAGATGCTCCACCCATGACATTCGTCATACGTGTTATAGACAGCAGCTGACTGTCATGATCAAACAGCCAAATGATTGAGTAGCTATTTGAGGAAGTGATGTAGCTACTTACGCACATACAGAATTATTGAATTACAGCAACAATATCAACTCCCCAAAATGGCACCCATTGGTCCCCGTCAGAGTGAATTACTTCATCTGAAAGTCATTTGTACTTCCTACTTCCTCTTTCGGTGAGCGTATGAAGCTGAGCCAGGTGGGGCTCTGGTTTCTCAGGTTTGTTGTGTGTGCGAATGTGTGAGGATGCAACTGCAGGGGACATCTATCTGATCCAGTTAGACAGGCTCGGTTGAGCCAACAGGAGACCACATGGCATGCAGCAAAGTTCCACTTTACATTCAACTATCCATGCAGAAAAATGTACAAGAGATACACAAAGAAACACTCAGGGACGAATCAAGTCAAGTTACCTTATTTCCTTTGCAGCTCAGACACAATCAACTTTTATACTTTTATGTCTAGTCATACCTCAGGAAGAAGTTCTGCAAAATATTATGGCTAGTAGTTTACGGAATCAAATACTTCATAGAAAAGAGGGAGAATTATATCAACAATATAATCCAAGGCACTCGTGAGATTAAGTAGGCAGGGTTGTCAATGTATAATCTGTGGATATGTTTGTGTGTTGTTGTACTTAGGGTAAGAACATCTATCCTTACACTGTAAAGAGAATATATATAATCATCATGGACAGATTATAGTGTTGTACTTTGGATTTGAAGTGAGATTTGAGTTAAGTTGAGTCAATATAGAATGTTGTACTGTTTGTCCTTACCCTGAGTTGGTCCATATATAATGTTGTACTGTTTGTCCCTACCCTGAGTTGGTCCATATAGAATGTTGTACTGTTTGTCCCTACCCTGAGTTGGTCCATATAGAATGTTGTACTGTTTGTCCCTACCCTGAGTTGGTCCATATATAATGTTTTACTGTTTGTCCCTACCCTGAGTTGGTCCATATAGAATGTTTTACTGTTTGCCCCTACCCTGAGTTGGTCCATATATAATGTTGTACTGTTTGTCCTTATCCTGAGTTGGTCCATATAGAATGTTTTACTGTTTGTCCTTACCCTGAGTTGGTCCATATATAATGTTTTACTGTTTGTCCCTACCCTGAGTTGGTCCATATATAATGTTTTACTGTTTGCCCTTACCCTGAGTTGGTCCATATATAATGTTTTACTGTTTGCCCTTACCCTGAGTTGGTCCATATATAATGTTTTACTGTTTGTCCCTACCCTGAGTTGGTCCATATGGAATGTTTTACTGTTGGTCCATATAGAATGTTGTACTGTTTGTCCCTACCCTGAGTTGGACCATATATAATGTTGTACTGTTTGTCCCTACCCAGAGTTGGTCCATATAGAATGTTTTACTGTTTGTCCCTACCCTGAGTTGGTCCATATATAATGTTGTACTGTTTGTCCCTACCCTGAGTTGGTCCATATATGTTGATGTTGTCCCTACCCTGAGTTGGTCCAATGAAGTTTACTGTTGCCCTACCCGAGTTGGTCCATATAGAATGTTGTACTGTTTGTCCCTACCCTGAGTTGGACCATATATAATGTTGTACTGTTTGTCCCTACTCTGAGTTGGTCCATATAGAATGTTGTACTGTTTGTCCCTACCCTGAGTTGGTCCATATAGAATGTTTTACTGTTTGTCCCTACCCTGAGTTGGTCCAATAGAATGTTGTACTGTTGTCCTACCCTGATGGTCAATATAAGTGGGTACTGTTTGTCCCTACCTGAGTTGGTCTATAGAATGTTTTACTGTTTGTCTCGCTGGTTGGTCAACATTATCTGATTTGCCAGGAAGGGTGGCTGAGCTGTTTCAGGATGTGTGTGAGTGGTGGGCTTGTGTGTGTGTGTGTGTTTGTGCTTGCCTGCAGGCGTTTGTGCGTGTACGTGTACGTGTGTGCATAGACATGCATCTCATGGTTATGTGTGTGTGTGTTTGTAGGACCTCCAGGAGAGTGAGGGCTGTCAGGATGAGTTGGCTGTCAGAGTGCAGCAGCTGAAGGCTGAACTGGTGCTCTTCAAAGGCCTCATGAGCAACGTGAGTCTATATCCACAAAGTTCCTCTCAACATGCACCTAGTCTTATTACCACACTTCACAGAACCATCATCAACAACATGTATACATCTTTCTCCCATATACACACAGCCTCATACTGTCCTGATCTGACTGCACACAAATCATCTGCTCATCTATTACCCTTTTACCCTCAATATTGTCTAGTTCATTCTCCTGTCCCACTGGGTCCCCTAGTCTGATTCTCACACTCTACACAGAGATCACTCCTGGTCTGGTTAGGATGATAACTGTTACTAGGAGACCGTAACCACCTCTCTCTGTGCAGAACATGTCTGATCTGGACAGTAAGATCCAGGAGAAGGCCATGAAGGTGGACATGGACATCTGTAGACGCATCGACATCACGGCTCGCCTGTGTGACGTGGCCCAGCAGAGGAACTGTGAGGATGTCATCCAGATGTACCAGGTAGTCTGTCTGTCTGTCTGTCGGTCTGTTGGTCTGTCGGTCTAAGTCTAAGTCTAAGTCTCTCCTCTCCTAGGTCCCTAACACCCAGTCTGCCATCAACTGTCGCCCCCGGAAACAGACCCCGCTGTACGTCAACGGTAGTGAGGGTGATGAAACTATCAGCACCTCAGAGAGCGATGGGGGCCTGCCCAGAGAGGAGGAGCTCTGTGGCTCGTCAGCCAATCAGATCAACGAGGAAATGCAGAGGATGCTCAACCAGCTGTGAGTAACATTACAGGACTGGTGTTTGTTACATGTGTAGTTTCTCTTATCAGGCTTATACAGGTACTACCAGCTTCTACACTGTCTGTACTCTACCATAGTAAAGGTATTAGACTGATAAGAAGGAATCTTCGATGTGCAGTTTCTCCAGGGGCCAAACAAACGTTAATAAACAAACATATGTGTGTGTTGCAGGCGGGAGTGTGAGTTTGAGGATGACTGTGACAGCCTGGCCTGGGAGGAGACAGAGGAGACTCTGCTGCTGTGGGAGGACTTCCCAGGATGCACTCTGGCTCCAGAGACCACCCGCCAGCCAGGAGAGGTATGGAGCACTTTAGAATGTTGATGTTTAGGTATTCCATAGTAACTCTATGGGGTTAACTGATGTTAT